ATGCCTGCCACTGTGGTTACCACACATGCACCCGAGCAAGTGGGAAGGGCTTGGAGAAAGGAGCTGTGGCAGATAAAAGGTATTCCAGTCTTCCTTACAGCTCCACTGGAAATGCAGAGCATGGCTATGCAGATACGCTGCACAGCCATGCCCATCACTAGGTCTTATTATCAGGGTAGGGCTTATGTTTGACAAATGCATAGAAATCCTGCTAGGGCTTATTTTGGGGGTAGGTCTTATTTTCAGGGAAACACGGTATTGATAGAATTTTCACACTTTGGAAGCGGGGGCAGGGGGTCATGTGCAGTGGTATTGTGAGGACTGAATTTTAGAAACTGTCCCTGAAATCAAGCAGATTTTATCTTTCTGGAGGAAACAAAACCTAAGAAGACAGATGTCTGTAACATATGTTAGAAGAAATTAAGGGACATGAGACATACAAGGGGATTCTAAGCGAGGAGAGATTAGATAGAGTGGCAGAAATGTAGGAGGATTTCATCTGAAAGATGGTGTTAGGTCTGCCAAGAAGGATTTTAGCAAGTGGAACTGGTACAAGTCAGGGCAGGTGAGTAGAAAGAGTGGGAATGGGAGCAAGTGCATCCAACCATGGGGAATCACAAGAGTCAAGTCAAGCCAGTGCTGTGGCTCCCACCTGTAATCCTAGCACTCTGGGAGCCCAAGGTGGATGGATCATTTGAGCTCAGGAGTTCAAGACCAGCCTCAGAGCAAGAGCGAGACCCTTGTCTCTACTAAAAATAGAAAAATTAGCTGGGCACTGTAGCAGACACTTGTTCTTCCAGCTACTTGGGAAGCTGAGGCAAAGGGGTCTGTTGAGCCCAAGAGTCTGAGGTTGCTGTGAGCTACAATGATCTATGGTATTCTACCCAGGGTAACAGAGTAAGACTCTGTCTCAAAAATAAATAAATAGATAAATAAAGTCAAAAATAAAAAAGAGTGGGCATGTTAGGGATTGCTAGGTGGAGTAGTTTCATTGGTAGGTACAATACATGTAGGCACTGTGGAAGGGCGAGGGAAGGGCACATCTGGGCCTGGCTGCAGAGGGCCAGGTTTGCTAGGGTATAACATTTATTTCAATCTGGCAGGCAAGACACTGAAGGTTTGGTAGCAGGGAAGTGATCAGACCACAGGTGGGATTTGAGAAGAACCATCAGGGAGCTGTGTGAAAGGTGATGTAAAGGATGGGAGAAGAGTTTGATTTCAAATGGTGGTGGATTTTTTTCTAGTCTAAAGACACTGGAGAGTGGGGGGTATCAAGGCCAGGGCAGTGACTGCAAAGATGGAGAGAAAGTGTAAATGTGCTTAGGAAGTTTTGAAATTTTTCCTTAAAAGAAAGAACAATTTCTTTTCTTAAATAATTTATTTGCAATAAATTAACAGTGAAACAGCAAATTATAAACAAGGGCTAAAAACTCACAAAACACATCAATAAATAAAGTCTTTGGTTGGTATATCTAACCACATTCTACAAAGCTCAGTAATTCAATTTCAGTAAAAAGGTATATGAAGATTACAGAACAATACTGAAAGGAGCTGAGCCTCATGATAAAGCACTTGCTCATTTTCAATCCTAAAATACTTGGTGGCTGAACAGCGCTGTAGAAAGGGTGGGTACAGGGTCTGGAGACCTGGCTCTGCATCCTGGGTTTCCATTAACTGTCCATGGGACCTCCGAAAAGTCACTTTAAAACCCTTTGGACCTCTTCTCTCCTTTGTAAAATGAGGGAGTGGAATTAGCCCAACAAATGGTCTACATGAATCAATGGATTTGTTTATACCTGGTTTCTCGAAGTTTCCAGATATCCATAGCAGACCACTTTTGTTCAAGTAACAAAGTCACATAGGTTACATGGTCTTGTCTAAGTTCTTCTGTTCAGCTCCAGTAATTCATAAACAAATACATCATCTAGTGAACTACAATGTGTTTGAACTACAAACTCTTACTAGTATAGTCACCAAGTCTTACGTGTAAAACACCAGAGAAGACTTTAGCATGATTTTTTAATTACTTCAAGTCTCTTGGACATCTTGTCAAAGTTCAAGTGTCCACATGTGACTATATTTCTTGATATGCAAAAATCCAAGCAGGCAAAAGAAATAATTGGAGAGATGAATTATATAGAGTAGCAATTTTTTTTTTTTTTAAGACAGAGTCTTAAGCTGTCTCCTTGGGTAGAGTGCCGTGGCGTCATCACTCACAGCAACCTGGGCTCAAGCGATTCTCTTGCCTCAGCCTGTCAAATAGCTGGGACTACAGTCGCCCACCACAACACCTGGCTATTTTTTGTTTCAGTTGTCATTGTTGTTTAGCTGTCCTAGGCTGGGTTCAAACCCGCCAGTCTCAGTGCATATGGCTGGCACTGTAACCACCATGCTACAGGCACCGAGCCTAGAGTAGCATTTTAAAGGCCTGCTCATTTATTACAGAAATCCCCCTCATGGAGTTTAATGACAACCCAATCTCCTCATGACTCGGCACATTTCAGTAGAAGGTCTTCTTTGGGTACACAGACCACATCCCCAAGAATGGAGAGTAGACTCATTCTGGGTAGAGCGGCACGATCCTATATTCAGGCAAAGAGGTACTCTGTGCTTTCCTTAGCAACATGCTGAAATGAAGCTAATATAAAAATACTGTAAGAAGTATTGTTTTAACTCCAGGTGAGAGAAAGTGATGTTAATTGACAGCCATCATCAAAATGTTGAAATGGGCCTGGTACACTGGCTCATGTCTACAGTCTTAGCTCTTGAGGATTACTTGAGGCTAAGCGCTTAAGACAAAGTTGGGCAACAATAAGACCCTGTCTCTATTAAAATTTTTTTTAAGTAGTTTTTGGCTGGGGCTGGGTTTGAACCCACCACCCCCAGCATATGGGGCTGGCACCCTACTCCTTTGAGCCACAGGCACCGCCCTCTCTATTAAAATTTTTTTAAAAATTAACTGAGGATGGTAGTGTGCATTTGTAGTCCTAGCTACGTGAGAGGCTGAGGCAAGAGGATCACTTGAACTCAGGAGTTCTAGGCTACAGTGAACTACAATCACACCACTGCATTCCAGCCTGGGTGACACAGTGAAACTCTGTACCTAATAAATAAATAAATAAATAGTATTATCACCTGGTATCCAGGGGCAAGCTTGTGTCCACATAACTCATGAGAAAGAAATGCACATTTGAGGGGAAATTGTCTCATCTTTCTGCTTTGATGTTTCCCTGGACTGTGCTGAGTCCATGGAGAAGCTTGCCAAATGCAGTTGAAATCAAGAACGCAGAAGGGAAATTTCTTGGTTCAAATACACCCATTGTGTTATAAGTATGAATGCCATACAGAGTTTAATGATCTAGTGACCTTGCTATTTCGGGGGAATGAGATTGTGAGACAGTCTCATTTGGCTTTCTTCTAACCAGCAGGACAAGGAGGTTCATCTCAACTTTTCATAAGTAAATACTTTCTTTCTGAGTGGCGGGAAATTTAATTCCTCTATTGTGCATAACACTGGAAATCCCTAATCCCAAATCCATAAACTTCCTACTGGTCGTTCAAAAGGTTTGAAAACCAATGTACTGTCAAGAACTTTGGGGAAATAAAATGTTCCAAAGACAATCAAATGACGTTATTTGTATTCTGGGCTCAACTATGGGATTTATCTTTGAGTCTTAGGAGCATGAGGTGGGCATGTGGTGACGAGCTGGCAGATCCAAGCTGTTTGACTGACTTGTTGGGTCCCACCTCTCCCAGCATAGACTGAGCTAATGCACCATAGCAAAGAAGACAAATTACACATTCATTAGTTCATTACAGTCCAGTATTACATTTCTATTGTTTACTCTCAATGTTTTGTTTAAACTAAGCTCTCTGTTAAATGAGTCATACATGGTAATGTTTGGATTTTCATAATTGTAACTGAATTGTACAGGAGCTCAGGCTGAGTGAAAAGTTTTAATACCTGACATGTGAACACAGTAAGGGGTTAGCTAATTTATTTTTGTTGCTTTTCAGGTGAAGACTATGAACTCCAATTCATAAATTATCAAATTATTATTTTGTCTTCCAGGTGTAATCCACTATTTGGCTTTAAAGATGATGCACATACAAATGGTTCAGTATAAGTTACACCTCACGTTTCCACAGAGTTGAAGGATGCAGAGCTTTTCCTCACATACCCGCTGCATTCCTGGAACCCCCACAACTCAGGAGGATCTTTTCTCCACAGATTTTGCCACAAGTCCTTAAAAATGGTTTCTGCAGAGGCTATCCTTTCTTTCATAAATTTTAATATTGACTTTGTTCACCTTTGATTAAATATGTCTCATTTTTCAAAACAAACTTTATATATATTTTTTGAGATAGAGTCTCCCTTTGTCACCTTGGGTAGAGTGCTGTAGCGTCACAGCTCACAGCAACCTCCAACTCTTGGGTTCAAGCAATTCTCTTGCCTCAGCCTCCCAAGTAGCTGGGATTACAGGTGCCCACCACAATGCAATTTTTAGAGACAAAGTCTCACTCTGGCTCAGACTGGTCTCAAACTCATGAGCTTGAGGCCCACCCACCTTGGCCTAGAGTGCTAGAATTATAGGCATGACCCACCACACCTGGGCCTGTACTATTTTCTGAGGGAAGCATATTCCCTTCATTCAGCTGAAGTCCATTATAAGAAAACTCCTCTCTCATAACCGAAGACACTGAGTAAACAGTGATTTTCAAAACATTTTTAAACTAAATTTTTTTTTCCCAAAAAATTTTATACAGAATCTGAATTTAAAAAGACTGCTCTGCCTGAAGCCTCTGGGGTCAGGGGTAGATTCCAAAGTGACATTCCTCGTGGCCTCCTTCAGGTACCTTGCATGCAACTATTCCCGAGCCATTGTCTGTGAAGATTAAATTCATGCCTTGAAAGTTATTCATGAAGTTGACTCTAGAACACGCAAAAGGCTGTCCACAGCCAGTGACTTCTGAGCAAGTGTTGTCCTGGGTGATGACTGCTATGGGATGTGGTGGCTTGGGCCAGGGGAAGGTACCTGGTAGTCCTCCAGGAGAGTCCTGCCCTCTAGGCTGAGCAGGTGGGGTCCTTGGGGGAAAAGCTCCAGAATGTTTCCCTGAGCAGCCACTCCTGTTTGCTGTAGGCTTTGCTCTCCCAAGACCTTGACCAAGAAATTGATATACCTCATTGCCAGGCGAAGCGTTTCGTTTTTGCTCAGCTTTTTGTCTGGAGGGTGAGTGGGGATGAGCTTCCTCAGCTTGGCAAAGGCACTGTTGACATTCTGCTGCCTCCACCGCTCCCTGGTGTTGGTGAAGATCTTCCTGGTCATGTCTGAGTTCCTGAGACTGGAAAAAGAAAGAGCCCCAAGGGCCAATACCTGGTAAGAGGTTGGTCGGTATCTCATGTTCTGCCAAGTACCTGAGATCTTAGATTTTTTTTTTTTCCACTCAGATTCTAGAAAATTCATTTCTTCATTTTCAGGTTTTATAAATCTTCCTTTTGGTAAGAGAAGAAAATGTGGCAGAAGAAAGGACAGGGTAAGAATGATATCCTTCAGCCTTTTTCTCCTTGGCTGTTTTGAAGCCTCGGGTTCAGTGGTTCTCAACTTGTGGGTCGCAACCCCTTTGGGATCCTTTCGCAGGGGTCACCTAAAACCATCCTGCATATCAGATATTTACATTATGATTCATAACAGTATCAAAATTACAGTTTGAAGTAGCAACGAAAATAATTTTATGGTTGGGGGTCATGACAACATGAGGAACTGTATTAAAGGGTTGCAGCATTAGGAAGGCTGAGAACCACTGCTCTAGTTAAAAGCTTGTTTTATCCCAATACCTCCACTACTTTCTTTATAACCACCTCTTCCTAAGTGTTCAGAATCTGGTACAGTATAGGACCGAGTTTATATGTGAATAAAATATATATTCTGCTGACAGTTGAATATGAATCAACAATGTACATGTAGGTACTCTGGGTTCTATGAGTCTACGTTTGCTTAACAAAATAAGATTTGGAATGCAGAAGACAGTTTGGTTCTCCTCTTAGCTGGCAGACCTCACCTGGAGGAGTGGGCTCCACTTGGTAAGAGCTAAAATATCCAGACTGGACCACATTTAAAGGAGGATGGACAGAGTGAAGAAGGGTCATGAAACTCTGCTGTAAGAATAGAAGTGGGGGATAGTTAGCCTCACAAAAATGTAAAGAGGCAGGTGGAGGTGGTCCTTGGCAGGGATGCTTAGCAGGTACATGGGCCCCTTGAGGGTGCCCCGGATGATCTTTCCAACTCCAAGAGCGTTACTGTCCTATCCTGCCAAATATTAGGTAGCCATTTTTAACTCTTAGAGCCATGGGTCACTTTTTTTTCAGGTGTCTAGGATTAACACGGGTTATAGGGACGTCTAGTATATATAGGCAAAGTCTAGCCCTAGGCAGATTGGTGTTGCTGGCTCCAGCCTGAGCTACTCCAGGCACTGGGCCTCTTCTATGTCCTCAAAAAAGTAATAAATATTCCTCTTTTGCGCATGTTATTTTCTGTTCCTTGAATTTCCTACTTACTCTCTGCTTATCTATATCTTTAAAGAATACCCTCCTTTTTCACCAGACCAGTGTTTTTCAACCCTTTTTACCTCGCGGTGAACTTGAACCTATTGCTAAACTTCTGTGACACACTTAAATTATGCTGATCAAAACAAAAAAGAGTAAAAACGAGAATATATTTACGGTGCTTTGAACTTCTTCCAAAAATAATTTAATTATTAATTTTAAAAATTTTTCACAGCATACCTAAAATCCTCTCGGTCTGTGGCACACCGGCTAACAATCACTACACCGAGCCCTTCAGCCATCAGGAGAGGCACCTGCATGACGGTTAGGAGGCCAGGCTCCATCTGGAACCCTGGTTTGGCATTTGGCTTTACTTCCTGTAGCTGTGTGACCTTGAACAGTATACCTAACCTCTCTGTGCTCAAATGCTTCATCAGTAAAGGGCAACTCAGGGTACTAACCCACTGCATCATTGTGAGGACACACAAAGTGACACATGCAGAGCACCTTAGCTCAATGTGTGGCACACATTAAGTGCTCAATAAACCTTAAATGATTACAATTATTATCCCTATAAATAGAACAGAGAAAAGCAAATGATGGGTGTAATTCGTAGTTGTTTGCCGATAGCTATAGTGCAGGAGAAAAGGGCTCAGTTCTATTTCCATGTCCAGTTGCTCCACTTTCCAGGGGTATACAGACACACATAAGTGTGTAGATGTGGAGTGAAATGGAATGCCTGGCAGGATTCTGGCCAAATGACCAACAGCGCTTCCTTGGCAGAGGACAATGAGTTGGGAAAAGATAGAAAAGGGAGATGTGGACATTTTATTCTGTATATTTTGGCATCAGCGTATGGTTCCACAAGAAAGTATTCTGATGTTATTTACTTCATAATAGAGACAAAATTGTAATGTTTATGCTCTTTAAAGCAGCTTGGACTAACATCTAGCTTTGAGTCTCTGCTCTCAATTTCCTAGTTATATGATTCTAAGAAAAGTCCGTTAACTTCTTTAAACCTTGGTTTTCTTATCTGGAAAATGGAGATAAGGGTATCAGCAGGGTTCTGGTGAGGATTAAATAAGACTTAATACAAAGTGCCTGGCACATCCGTGCTAAATACACGTGAGCATTTTCTTTCCTATACAGATGGAACGTGCCATCACTGCAAAGAACAGTACTTTTTAGTCACCCATATGCCCCACTCATTTCTTGTTGCCTTCCTGCTTGTGTCCGGGTTGAGAGTCCAGTGCTGTGCTGAGAACCCACAGGTAAGCTGGAAGCACAGCAGCCCAGGGTCACTGGGTGACTCCTGGTGCACCTGCTGCTTAGGCCCACTTCTTCTCGCTGTGGAGACACTCCCAGTTGGATCAAGATCCTAGGTAGCAACACTACTGACGCTATGGGCCGGGTACTGGAATGGCTGCTGAATAGAGAGGGCAGGCTGCCTTTGTTGGCATGGGAGAGGGAAGCCCAGGGACTGCAGGAGCAGAGGAACAGCACCAACTGGGCATTCACATGGGCTCCCAGGCTGAGCATGTCCTTCCAAAACTGAAGGGGGTGGACTCCACGGCTTTTCTCTGCTCCGAGATGCCACAGTGCTCTACCCAATGCCTTTTATCTAACCTAAGTCATTTCTGAATAATCTGGCCTTCGGTTCTACAATGAAAAGATGAGTGTGGTCAGAACTGTACTCACTACCCCTAAAATATGAAAGTTTAAACCTGAATCGAGGAGATTTTTAACATAGAAAGAGAACTACCCAGTTTTGTTCCCACTGATGCTGGCCTGTACTGTGGGCTCAAATTTACGTTCAAGCTTCTCTTGTCAAAAAAAGGTTTAGCTAATTCATTAAGTCAACTCTGATTCCATGGAGGGTCTTTTCAAGCTCTGAGGAAAAAAGATTAGGCAGAATAAACTAACTGTGATATTTTTTTCGAAGCTGGCTCTATCCTACTGTAACAAGCAGACAGAAGAAACAGGGAAGAGAAGACTAGCTTCTAAAACGGAGCCGGCCATCCTAGGAGGTGCTTAATGATTCCTTGTTGATTTATGCTCAAGTGTATTACACTGCTTCTCCACGGGGGGCAATAGAAATCGGTGATTTAACAACTTGGAAAAGCTCAAAGAAGAGGTCACTGGAAAATTACTCAAGTACTTGCTAAATCAAAGGAAAATTGCATTAATGTTTTTCCAGTTGCAAGGACTTATTACTACTAATCTGGATTTCAGAGTAATATAGGAGCTAAAAAAAACACACTAGATGCCACAGAATCTGAGAACGATTGATAGATGCTGAAACAGAGGGGAAGCGTTTAGGCGGCTTGGGAATCAGTGGCAAAGCCTGTGCCCCAAGCCTGGGTAATTATGCATTTACGCCACCACTGAGGACTCCTGCTGGGTCAGGGCTCATAACCTTTTTTGTGCCATGGAACCTTTTGGCAGTCTGGGGAAGCCCAGAGATGAATTCCTTTTCAGAACCTTGATCTTAAATAAAGCAAAAGGCCTTTGGTTGTCTTCTGAGAACAGTGATTTTAAATGCATAAATTGAAACACACAGGCATAGAAAATAACCAGTTCTATCTAGTAGTTATTAGGAAAATTTAAAATGCAATACGGGAATACACATGCTTCATTTTTAACACATGAAATAACTAGACTTATTACCATAATCTCTAAGAAGTGATATGTAAATGGTTTTTCAAAAGATCTGCGGCTTCCATGACATGAGATCCAAGTATTCATGATTTCTATTGCTGATGAATTCACCGCCACTGTTGAATTACTACAGTTCATTACCCACATTTATAGATAAAGAAAATGCTATCTTCAGATTAAAGATGAGTAGAAGTAAAGATGTAATTTTCCCTATCCAAATTCACAGGACCCCTGAATGCTAACTGCATATTCCTGGATGGATGGGGCTTGGATACCCCAAGTTAAGAATGCCTGGGCTGGAGGAAAGTAATGGTAAACACAGCAAGAACAGAGATGTGCATAGAGGTCTCTATTTATATTGTCACCGCAGAAGGGAACTCATTGCCAGAGAAAAGAAATACAGTTATGTGGCTGCACCTGTAGCTCAGCGGGTAGGGCACGGCCCCATATACTGAGGGCGGTGCATTCAAACAGGGCCCAGGCCAGTGGCAACTGCAACAAAAAATAGCTGGGCATTGTGGCAGGCTCCTGTCAGTCCCAGCCACTAAGGAGGCTGAGGCAAGAGAATCTCTTAAGCCCAAAAGAGTTGGAGGCTGCTGTGAGCTGTGATACCACAGCACTCTACTTCTATCGAGGGCCACAAAGTGAGACTCTATCTCAAAAAAAAAAAAAGAAGAAGAAGAAGAAGAAGAAGAAGATGAAGAAGAAGAAGAAAGAAAATAAATACAGCTATGCTCACAAGGTGACCAAGGGCCCCAACAGGAGATGCTACTCTCTTGCGTCCTCAGCATCACACTGACACAGCTCTTTTTTCACTGGGCTTTAAATTTCTCTTCCTGGGATTTGGTCCCGCGCATGTGTGTCGTCTTTCGCCTTTCTCTTGAAAGTAAGTGAAAACACTTGCCAGAAAGGGAGAGGTGAAGGGCGGTTTAAATAGGTAGATCGGAAGAAGGTGCCTAATCTCCAACACTAGACAGAGCTCTGCCTTTTGAAATTATTATAGAAGTAACACATGGTCATTTAAGAAAAAACAAAAATCATGCATTACACAAGCGCATAAAGTACGAAGCAAAAGGTTCCCTGTCTGTCCACCTACTCAAGTTGGCTCCCCAGCCACCGCCAGTTTGGTGTGTATATCTCAAATACACACACACACACAC